TCACGTTACAATTTCAAGGTAAAATTAATGGAAGGGGCACCTGGGAGGCTTAGTTGGTTAAGCATTTGCTCTCAGCTCAAGTCATGATCTCGGGGTCCTGTGGGCCCCTCTGGCATCGAGCTCTCCACTCAGCAGGAGTCTGCTTCTACCCCTGCCCCTCCCCCCACTCGTGCTCGCACTCTCTCACAAACAAATAAATAATTTAAAAAATCTTAAAAAAGGGGGCACCTGGGTGGATCAGTCATTAAGCGTCTGCCTTCAGCTCAGGTCATGATCCTGGGGTCCTGGGATCGAGCCTCACATTGGGCTCCCTGCTAGGCAAGAAGCCTGCTTCTCTGTCTCCCACTCCCCCTGTTTGTGTTCCCTCTCTCTCTGTGTCTCTCTCTGTCAAATAAATAAATAAAATCTTTAAAAAAATCTTAAAAAATAGTTGAAGAAAATTGCATGTATTATGATCTCAAGATGTATAAAAATACAGGTAGAAAAAAAAGACCTAGACAAAATCCCTCAAAATGTTAAATGGATGCACCATGTAGTCAGCTTAAGGCTGTTTTAACTGCATCTTCAGCCTTTATTTTGAATTTTTCTACATTTACATGAGAAGACTTTTTAGAAATTCAGTCCCACTAAAATAACACCGATGTCAGTGAGGAATTCAAGTGAAAACAGTTACCTGTCCATCAAAGATGTATTTATTTCTTAGTGATTGCTGGGGGTTTACTGGTAGATTTATTACTTTTTCACTATGAGAATCACTGTGAAAATAACATGAGTAAATCAAGCTTAGAAGAAAAACTGAATGATCTGAGGCTCAGACCTGGCCATCTCTAGTGTGTCCATCAGTTTCCAAAGAGGAAGCAGTATTTCAGAAAATGATGAAGACAGACACTGTGCCCTGCAGGCTGAGGAGTGAGTGCTCAGAGCCACTCCAGGCTAAAGACCTGGGTTTAAATCCTGGTGCTCCTCCCCCCAAGTCTGTGGCCTTGCCTGCATTGCCTAAGTTACCCTTCTCTGCACCTCACTTTGCACATATGTAAAATGGACATAATAGCCCCATTCTCAGCTGTTTGTTGTGAAAATTCAAGAAAGACACTTTCCACACTGTTCATGCATGCACGTACATGCACACACACACACACACACAATACACACACACACACACACACACACACACGCACACACACATACACACACACTGTCCATGAATGCATGTATATGCACACACACACACACACACTGTCCATGCATGCACGTACATGCACACATACACACTGTCCATGCATGCACGTGCATGCACACACACACACACACACAGACACACACACTGTCCATGCATGCATGTACATGCACACACACACATGCACAAAGACACAAACAATGCCCATGCATGCACGTACATGCACACACACGCACGCACACATACACAAACAATGCCCATGCATGCACGTACATGCACACACACACATGCACACATACACACACACTGTGCATGCATGCACATACATGCACACGCACACATGCACACACACTGCCCATGCATGCATGAATGTGCGCACACACAGTTATACATGTATGCCCATGTGTTTGTGCACACACACACTTCTCCTTAATCAGAAAGTTTAATTACACATTACACAGAAGACTATTTTTCATATCACTTGAAATGATAAAAGTAATACAATCTAGTGTGTATCGCGTGTGCACTGTGCATCAGGCACTGTGCTAGGTGCTTTACATGTATTATTTCCCTTACTTTGAACCAGGTTCAATTTCCTTCAGAGAAAATCAAGCTCCTACGAGGATGATGAAGAACTAGCACCCGTATCCTACAAAAATAATAATCTGTTAGATACAAAGCACTGAAACACAATTGTTTTAAAGCCTCCTATAACTGCCTTCTTTTACATTGAAATCATTGTTTTTATGATCAGTTTTGGATAAAATGATATTTCCTAGAAACACACCTGTAGTGTAATAATGAGGGAAGGTGGGGGAAGAAGAGAAAGAGAGAGAGAAATTTCTCAACAACAAAGAGAACATGAATAAATATTCCAAGCTCTGTAAGAAGTAAAAGCATTATTTGATGGTGCATACTATTTAGAATCACAAAATGAAAGTTCAAACATTGAATCAGTTAAACTAATTATCTCTGTCTAATGATTATTTCGGTTAAGAAGAAAAATATGAAACTTAAGCATCAGTACAAAGGTACTCTGTACAGACTGACTTTCTATACATTGAAATTATAAGAAGATAGGACCTAATCAGATTCTTATCTAGAGGAATTAATAAAATTCACATTGATGATCTAGATCTTTCTTATACATAAAAATGGTCTCCAACATAAATATGTAGTATTGTAAAATCATTTGCATTACATGCATTTCATAAAAATGAAACAAGTGACATATTTTCATTTTTTTCTGTCAGCACGAAAATAATTTTGTTCCCACTACTACACACTATATGCTGGTCACATTTTCAGATGAACAATAGCACTGAATTAGTTTGTTTGTTTGTTCGTTTTTAAATCTTGACATGATATCTTGCTATGGAATAACTTAAAAGTTGGTTTCCAGGATCACGTTGTTTGGATCTTTGATTGCAATGTCTCCTTGTAGTTGTAAATGTTGCTTTTAGAGCTGAGTAGGTTTATATGGAAAAGGCCTACTAAGGGCTACATTTGCTGAAAGCAAACAAAAAAAAATTTGTTCAATCCCACTTACTAATTATGCTGGGGTTTGCTGAATTTGGCAAGTAATTTTTCTTATTTTCCTACCTCATTATTAGTACAAATACATAGACAATCCTTATAAAATTACATATTACCAAAAGGTTCCCAATTGCTCCAAGGTCATTTTCAAACAGATTATCAAACAGATTTGATTTTTTTTTCAAAGTGAATTGTTTCTTTTTTTTTTTTTTGAAAGATTTTATTTATTTATTTGAGAGACAGAGAATGAGAGATAGCACGAGAGGGAAGAGGGTCAGAGGGAGAAGCAGACTCCCCGCTGAGCAGGGAGCCCAATGTGGGACTCGATCCCAGGACTCCAGGATCATGACCTGAGCGAATTGTTTCGTGTATGAGTTTTAAAAGGCGACACATTTATATTATTTATTGCAACAAAATTACACAGTAATGAAAACTAACATAATAGCAATTGTTTCAGTATTTTTATACTTTATTTGGAAAAAACTTCTTAAATTAGCCACAGCCTTGTTCACTAAAATTTCACTTTAAAAGGTGGCATTGAACATACTTAAAAATATCTGCATAGCATCCACATCAGCAGGGTCCTCTCATTCAGAAGTGAATAGCAAAGTTTAACAGTTGTCTTTCTGTAGAACACTCTTATCACTCACCTGTGAATTTTTTTTTTTTAAGATTTTATTTATTTGCGAGAGAGAGAATGAGAGACAGAGAGCATGAGAGGGAGGAGGGTCAGAGGGAGAAGCTGACTTCCCGCTGAGCAGGGAGCCCGATGCGGAACTCGATCCCGGGACTCCAGGATCGTGACCTGAGCCGAAGGCAGTTGCTTAACCAACTGAGCCACCCAGGCGCCCTCACCTGTGAATTTAACACCTCTGTTCAGAAACCTGCATTTTTTATTTATTTTTTATTTTTATTTTTTTTAAAGATTTTATTTATTTATTTGACAGAGAGAGACAGCGAGAGAGGGAACACAAGCAGGGGGAGTGGGAGAGGGAGAAGCAGGCTTCCTGCTGAGCAAGGAGCCCGATGTGGGACTCGATCCCGGGACCCTGGGATCATGACCTGAGCCGAAGGCAGACGCTTAACGACTGAGCCACCCAGGCGCCCAAACCTGCATTTTTTAAACAACACAATTCCTCTGTGCCAGAGAAGATTTTCACTCTGACTTTTCCTCTCACTGAGAATTTTATAAAGCATCCACCGTACATTTGACTACACCCAATTGCATTTGGAGCTCTTCTGGTTTCAATTTCTTTGCTGGTCTGAGCTGGCTTACAAACGACCCAGCAGGTGAATCCTGTGTTTGGTGTTATCATAATATTGACCTGGAAAATTAACTTTTCTCCTCTTTCCTTGTTATTTCTTTTTTTTCCCCCCTAACTCCAGGCAAGAGAGCCATTTCATCAATGATTGCATTTGTGTGATTTTTACTCAATGTCATGTTTGGGTGAAAGAACATCGTTGCTACTGAGTATCAGGCTTTGAATTTTTTGAGGCATACGCACAGGCAGACACACCTAAAAAAAGTTTTTAAGTATTTCATCATTGAAACATTAAATATGGCAATCTAAAATATATTTAAGTTACCTATGTTCTCCTCCAATACGAGAGAAATTATCCCACAGTTTATAATTCATTGTTGCTGCAAAGACAATGATATGGTAACTTAGCCTGATTGTCCTTTTCCCCCTGTGCACACAACCTACACTCCCCAGGTTAATAAACTTTTGTCAGGTACTTGGTGAAGTAATACATACCTATAAACATGGCTTAATATTGGGAGAAGTGTGTCATCAGGTTCTAGATGCTTAATTTTGAATTATCTTGCTAATTGGTATGGTTTCCAGTGGTCCATAGCTTACTTCTCATGGCATACTATTTATAGAGGGTAAGAAGTATTGTTAAAAATACTGCTTATAGGGCGCCTGGGTGGCTCAGTTGGTTAAGCGACTGCCTTCGGCTCAGGTCATGATCCTGGAGTCCCGGGATCGAGTCCCACATCGGGATCCCTGCTCAGCAGGGAGTCTGCTTCTCCCTCTGACCCTCCCCCCTCTCATGCTCTCTTTCTCTCTCTCAAATAAATAAAATTTTTAAAAAAATACTGGCTATAATAGCCATATTTCAAATAATCTATTGGATAATTTCATGTCCTTTTTTGGGTCCCCTTCCTGACAGTCATAATTAGGTCATCATTTGGTAGTAATGTGCTTGACAAAGGACATTTTTTGTGTGTGTGGCTTTCCCATGAATACTTTATCAGGAATATCTTTAATTTCAATTTTTGTAGGACTATTGCAAACCAGTTTCCCTCCTACGTGGGCACACCTGAGCTGTACTCGGTCCCACACCAGAAATTCAGAACTGATGCAGCTAATCACACGTTATCATCTAACCCGGACAAAGTACGGACTCATGTGTCAGTCCATGTAATAAATATCAGTAAAGCTTAAATTGTATACATCTTTCTGATTAAAATAAATGTAAATAGAAGTTCTAATAGTTTCTTCTAGCATCATCCTAGTGGATTGTTTGGTTCCAGGGATATTCACACCTTACTTCGAAGCCTCTGATCTAAAGCTCTCCATATTAAACCCAAAGTTTTAGATTTTTAATCCTGACAGTTAAAAACCCTTACCCATGAGGTCTGTCTGGAAATTCTGGAATCAACAGAAATCAACAGGGAGATATTCTAATATTAGGTAAACCCTGGGTGGCATACCACTTAAAATGATTGGGGCACTTTTCAAGTGTTATGTGAATTCTAAAGTCCCATCGAAGAGGTGACCTTTTTAATTATTGATCTGTCAGCCTTTCTTTCTTTATAAACTAGTTTGAAGGACCAGGTTTTACTTGTCCTTACATTTTCTCACTAAAACATTCCTGAATCTGGACTACAAATTATTCATACCAGGTTTAAGTTGTAAAGAAAAAGAGGGATGCTTCTAAACCTTTGATTTTTTAGTGAAATTTTAGGAGAAGATAAAAGAATCAAGAGAAAAATTGCCTGATGGGCTGATATCTACAGTTAAGCATGCAAATAAAAGGAGAGCAAGTAAGAGAAGAAAAATTCTCAGCAGGGTCAAATCCATAGGAGATTCTCATTACCTCTAGATCAAACTGTCCTCCAGAGAGAGCCAGCTTGGATCAGCTTACCGTAGTTTATGTACTTTATAAACTGAGCAAGACAAATAGTGTGTTAAGACTTTATGGACTTGTTATGACAGCTAATTTCATATCGCCTGACATAGTATCTGAGCAAATGTACAGATGTTCATTCCTTTCCACTCCACTCTAGATACTGTAAATTGAGTACCTCTGGAAGTCCACTCATAATAGCTGACAAACATCCCCGCTACCCACAAGAATGAAAGTTGTAAGTCACTGGGCTTCGACGTGGAAAGTTAGCAGAAAACTCAGGGGCCCATGCATCTTTTTAATGACCTTATTGCAGAAGTCTTGTGTGGGTTTACTATGACAGTCTACCAGGGGACTCGGAGGACACCTAATGAATTAGCTATAACTTTAATTTAAATGACATAATACCTGATAAATGAGGGTCTTCTGACATGCCTTTGAGTTTATCATCCTCTCCATGAAATCGTCATTGTGACCTAAGCCTTGTCTTCGTGTTCTTTACCATGATTTGTTCCTGATCTTAAAGGCATGGAAACCTGTTACTGAACATGGTAGCGGGCAGTCCTTCCCAAAAGTGTACACCTGTGCTCAGCCCCATCTCTCTTCCTGGTGGTGGGAGCCAGCCCATCATCCCGAGCCGGTCCCTTTCTGAGCAAAAAGTGTCACTATTTGTTTGATTTTTATTCACAGGTTAATATTTAAAGCACCTCATCTGGGGCTTGAGGCAGATTAAAACATAAAACCTCAAGACAAAATACAAGTTTTAAATCTGGTGGATTTATTAAAGGGAATGTGGAATTATCTCGTAGCCTCTACATCAAAAACTCACGTAGCTGTTTTAACTGCCTATCGTTTCCCCAACATCATTACAGGATGCTTGAGTTGCTTGAAGAACATTTTTGAACATCCTTGAAAATAAAAGATTTTCAAGAAGGTTAAATATAAAATTGACCACATTAGATATCTATAGTCTGGTGGACTTGTTTCCTTTGAATGTAAAACTTCAAATCTTTATATCCCATTAAAGAGTAAAATCAATCTTCTTCTGAATGTTCACCACCAGGTCTCTTGAAAAGCTTCCCCTCTTACTGGAATGAATGTTACCTCCAGAGAGATCCTGCGACAAAATGTTGGGTTTGAGCCAGTTGTTGATTTAGGTCGCATATATAATGCATTGTGCTAAATTTTGTTCAATCAATGTTTAAAGTTTCTTGTTTTGTTACCAAACACTTATGGTGAAGATGTGAAGGATAGAATGAATAGTTTTGTTTATTGTTTTTCCTCAAGTAGTCTGTTCTGCATGTTTTCATATTCAACAATTCTGTGAAAATTATAAATGGGAGGCTTCCAATCTCTCTGGGCAATTTTCTCACTAACTAGGAAAGAAGAGTACAGAGAAAGGTCACACTGATGACCAAGAAACTCATGTTTTATGTCCTACCAGTAGGTCTTGTGTAACAATGGATAATGTGCCCAAGCACTGAGTAAAAGTGTTCTCCCATGAATTATTTCAGATATAATTCCACATTAGCTGTGTTATTTTGTTTCTGGAGCTGTTTCACATGGCATCAATGTGGAGCTAGAAGTGACTTCAGAAATCATCATTGGTTGATAAACACACTTCAGACGCCTTTTGAGACTATCAGTTGTTCATCATTTTGTGTCTTGGGTTGGGAAGTCTGCCTCTTTTTCCTTGGGCTCTACCCCATGGGGAGGCTTGGAGGTGAGAGCAGTTTTTTAGGTACAAGTTGTTGCTGTTGTTTAATGGCAAATGGTGGAGGACAGAACACAATAGCAGAAGTAGAGATTGGATCGTGTGTTTAACATGCATCTTTGTAAGGCCAGGATGAGTAAGTAAACCCCTTATCGTCAGGGCCTTGTCTTTACTGGAAAGACAGGCAAGGATACATTACATAGACACTATCATGTCAGCTATGAACAAATAAAGCAAAGTGACTTTATTTATAAGACAGCCAGTAGGGCTTATGCACAAAAATGGAGAACAAAATAAAACATGATTTTTAAATGTGAGAAATCATCAGAATCACCAGAATTTAAGAGATAGTAGTTCAGTTTCAAGTGCAGGGGTTCTTTTACCCCCTAACTTTGTGTCAACAGACAAATAATGAAGTAATATTTTGTGTGTCTCACTTTCTCCGTTTCTAGGATTTACTCTATTTGTCAGAGCGCCTTCCTTGTGGATGCAACCATGGCAACAGGATACACACCTCGGCTGATTTTCCTCCTAGCCATTCCGTTTCTTATCTTCCTGAGGGAATATTTTTACAGGGAAATTTGGGGGGATTATACATTTTTGGTGAGAGATGCTGGAGATGTGAAGTGGGATTTTTTTAATGGAGAAGAGACATTGGACGACATGAGTTTGAGACGTGCTGACAGTTGATGAGAGTGACTACAATGGCAGTGGTAGCGACATGATGGTGATGGTGGGGGTGGGGGTGCTGGGATGGTGGGGGTGATGGTGGGGGTGATGGTAATGTTGGTGGTGGTGATGGTGGAGATGATGATGCTGGTGATGGTGGTGATGGAGGTGGTGATGATGGTCGTGGTAATGGTGGTGATGATGGTGGAGGGGATGATAGTGGTGATGGTGATGAGTTTTGCAAAGTCAACATAAAATGATACTGAAATACACCAATAGAAAAATAGGATATTCTACAATATCAAAACGTGGGAGTAGCATTAGTCTTGGAGTCAAGGGCTGGACTTCTAGCATACGCTCTCCTTTACTTAGCCAAATGACTCTGGCAACCTCCTTATAACTATCTGAGTATTTGACTTGCCCTATCTGGGCAAATAGATAGCATAGAGGCCACACTTGCTCCTCTCACAGGTCAGTGGGAGATTCTGTGATTCATGCCAGCATTCTCTGCTAAGCCCAAATTCCATTCCAGATAACAAGATATATGCCACCAATAGATGTGAATTAGTCATAAAGATAAAAGCAAAGCCAAGGCTTTTCAGGGTGGTGGTAGGGGAGGGCAGTAAAATGTGAAGTAGAAAGTATCCTAAGGTCCAAGTCTTTTTAAAGCACCTCACATAGTCCTTCAATGACAATCACATAAGCTAGTATCAACTTCTTTCATACACTTAGTGTCTGGGAGAAAGAATATACACAATATTTTTAGGGAATATTTACTTTAAAAAATGAAAATGCATATATTATTAAATCATATCTACATTTTTTGCTAAGCTTAGAAACCCCTTTGGAAATATTGACATTAATTTTATTTACAATTAATCTATAATTGATTCCATTCAAACATTAAATAACTAGAACCTTTAATTATCACTAAGAGAACTCTCTCCCCATACTACATTTCTTGACTTTTATTATTTATATTCATATTTCTCTATTGTCATATTTAATAATAATCTTTGTGTTCTGTATTTATAATTTCTATTGTATTCTTCCCCATGTTCTATGTTTAAGTAAATTTACCTTTTTGCTTCAAATTTTCCATTTATTTATTCGCTGGTGGAAATTAGCTTTCTAATATGTCCTTGATTTAAAAGGATCCTTGCAAACTATACCCTGAGTTCTCAAATGTGATACTATGCATTTGTCCTCCATGTGTTTGTGTAACCATTTAGCCACATGTGTTACTCTTAAAACACAGTGTTTTTTCCTGAGGAATTACTTGGTACCATTACACTGTCTTCTTCAACAGAAAACTATGGTGAAAAAGCCTGAAATCAGACTGACCTCCCCCTAGAGGTGACACAGGTAATTTGGTTCTTTTGATTATCTAGTCTACCATCTTCCCTAGGTACTTTCTTAGTTCTGAACAGTCAAGATCGTACTACTCTTCAATCCATGAGCACATACTTTATTTTAGGACAGTGATCCTAAATTGTACCTTGGAAGTTTCTTTTTGTTTCCCTTCTGATTCTCTTCATCGAGAATATCAGTTAACACACATGATGAATTTTCTTCGTCTTTTCTGTGCATCATTTTCTCTCTAGCCTTTTAAAAATCTTCACTCCATTTTTTGTATGCTTTTCTCAAGGCCCATTTCCGTGACAAGTCCATCAGCTTCCATCTTCCTCGAGATGTCTCCTAGGCATGCTTCCTTTTTTGGAGTTGTCTCACTTACTGCTTGCATTTTGTTCCTTGACTTCAAGTCCTCAGTCTATACCTTCCTTCATCATTACTTTCTTAAGCTCTTGCATCATGTATTTGAAAATTTATTTGACAGAAACCAGATATTTTTAAGACCTTCTGTTTCTTGGGGAAATCATAAAT